TTTTACCTCTAGATTACATTAAAAAGGTTTTTAGGGATTTTCATTTTTGATGCAATTACTCTATTCCTTGTGGTAGTTATTCTAACTCATAATTTCCACTGAAAAAAATAAAAACGTATTTTTTTTCTAAAAATAGTTGATAATATAGTCGCCGCGGCCAATGTCCGTTGCGTCATCAATTTCAAATGCAAAAACCGGTTTGTCGACATCATCAAGGATCGTTCTATAACTGCGTGGCCTAACAAAGAAAACGCAAGTTTTTTAGATAAAAAACATTACATTTTTCAATATAGTCTCCAGCTCGCTTAACACACTTATTCCAACGATATTCCAAATTAGCAATGCCTTCCTTGTAGGTCGATGAATCCAAATCCTCGAAAAAGCTATTTACAGTATCGATTACCTCGGAATTAAAAAAAAATCTCTTACCGCCCAGCCATTTTTTCAGATTTGGAAATAGATGGTACTCTGTACTACTGGGAGCCAATTCTGGAGAATAGGGCGAATAAGTCACTAATTCAAATCCCAATTCATGAATTTTGGCCATTGCAATCGCAGACTTGTGGACAGGTGCGTTATCCTGATTGAAAAGCACTTTTTTTTACCAAATGAGGCCGTTTCTGTTTTATTTTGTCGCCAAGTTGTTACAACAAATTAGTAAAATACGCGCCATTTATTCTAAGTAGTCGACCAAGATAATTCCATGAGAATCCCAAAACCCAGTTGCCATAACCTTTCATGCGGACAAAACCGTTTTGCCTTCTTTGGTGGCGGAGAACCTTTGTGTGTCCATTGTTTGGACTGTTCTTTGGTTTTGGGAGTTTAATGGTGGACCCAGGTTTCATCGACTGTTATGAAACGACGCAAAAAGTCCTTTGGATTGTGAAAAAAACGCTTCAAAAGGTCGCGAGACACACTCAAACGATTAAGTTTTTCAACGCGCCGAGTATATTTAATTTACAATTCTTCTGTTAAAATTATGTGCACACATTTTGTTGACCTGATGCTTGCGCGCTCCTTAAAATAGGTGCAATAAAATTCGAATTTTTAAATCCATTGCGCGACCATAAATGATGTTATATTATGCAGTTGTGTTTTTGAGTACTCAATTAAAGTTTTTATACTGTAGCGATTTAAGATCATTTTCGTATAAGTCTAAAAATGAACAAATACACCAGTTTTTCAAAAAAATTGCATTGGGCCAGTTTATTTTCGGCCCACCACAATATGTAAGTTACGTAGACGATACTGGGGCTATGGTGGTTGTTGTGATACGCGAAACCTCACGACGACCCGACATTTTACTGGGGGACATACATTTAATTTTTTTTTAATCGGAGTTTGACGCCAAAAAATTGGTAGTTAAGTTTACAAACTCTAGGGAACCTAAATTTATAATTGGATACATTGAGTAGAACAAACTAGTTTGGTGGGGAATATAATAATAATAGTAATAATAATAATAATATTTATTCACAGAAGTCTTACAGTGCCTAACTACAAAACTTATTGGACTAGTCAGAATAAAAAAAAATATATACTTATTTAAATAATCAAATTGTGGTTATATTTTAGTTATACGAATACATGTATATATATATATTATGTTAAAAAAATTTTTTACTACCTTACTGGAAAACTTAATTTTCCACCCCCGAGCGAGGGAGAAAAATGCCTCTTTTCCTCCCCGGGAGGAACAAAAATGTCCTCCTTTTTTTAACAATTTTACATTAGCAAGAGTTTTTGTACCTTGTCTAGCCCTATTTGATTTTGTACGAAAAAGATTTACTCCGCGCTTGTCCAATTGAACAATCTATATTTATTTTCATATCGCTCTTTCGATTTTTAAGAAAGGAAATTAATTGCTATTCTTGCCTCTTCAGCAAAATCTTGCGGCAGGTCTTCTTCGCTAGAACTCATTTTCAAGACGTAGGAAGAATTTCAAATTTATGATAAACATTATGACAGCTTATAAAAACTGTTATGTTTGTATTAAAAAATACCATACCAAGTTGGTATTACCAACAAAGCGTTCTCAACATAACGTCGGCGACGCAACACCTACTTAATATTTTTTCATAATTTTATAGTCCCATACCGGGTTAGTAAAAGGAATCGGAACGCTTAAAATGTCTTAAAACCGTTAAAAGGCAATAGAAAAAACTAAATACATACCTCAGGAGGAAAATGCTTTTCCTTCCTTGAATATTTAATGCCCTTCGCTTCGCGTCGGGCATCAAACTATTCGCGGGAGGAAAAGCACTATTTTCCTCCCATGGTATGTAAATAGCTATACTCCGCGCTTGTCCAACCATTCTTTTAACAAACTATATTCATTTTTATATCGCTTTTTCGATTTTTAAGGAAGGAAATTAATTGCAACTATTCTTGCCTCTTTAGTAAGATCTTGCGACAGGTCTTCTTCGCTAGAACTCATTTTAAAATTTATGATGAACATTCTGACAGCTTATAATAACTGTTACGTTTGTATTACCAAAAATACCATAGCAACAAAGCGTTGTCAACATAACGTCGGCGACGCAAAACCTACTTAATATTTTGTCATAATTTTATAGCCACATACCGGGTTAGTAAAAGTAACCGGAACGCTTAAAATGTAACCGTTAAAAGGTAATAGAAAAAACTATATACGTACCTCAGGAGGAAAATGCGTTTCCTCCCTTGAATATTTAATGCCCTTCGCTTCGCGTCGGTCATCAAACTATTCGCGGGAGGAAAAGCACTATTTTCCTCCCATGTTATTAATAGCTGTGAAATGTCAAACATAAGTTGTTAAAAAATGCAATAACTTATAACTTGGATGAAATATAGGCGACTTTACGGTCCAAAAGAGCCAAATACACAAATACACATGTATGTTTATTATATTTCTGACAGTGAAATAATATGTCAAGATTTGTGACGCTTAAATAAGCTTATTTAATGTTTCATTTATGTATGTTTTATTTATTGAATATAAATAATATAAATATTATTATGTTCATTAAATTATTTTTGGATTTTTCTACCTCCATTTTTTATAAATTCTGGGAAATCAATAAAATTTCTTGGAGGCAAATAAATTTGTTGGATGTGGCTGATTCTTGCATCAAAAAAAGCGCAATATCTTATTCTATATGATGTATATAATAACTTATTTAGGGTAAAAATGGAGTTGATGGAGTTTTGCACCGAGCCCTCCACAAATACAATAATATAAACTTATTTTTCCTATAACAGAAATTGAATTCTGAAACGCTGAAACAGAAGATTTTTCTTTAATATTTTAGGAACATAGAAGATAAAAGATTTTTGTTAAATAAAAAGGGTTTTCATTTAGAGCGTCAGAACATTCAAATGAGACACAAATTAACTATATGTAATAATCCTTTAATCTTTATTTTATTTTAAAGAATAATTGATGACATGTTTTAAAAATAGTATCGTTGCAAAGTCCTCCTTGACTTTATATTCTGGAAGCCCAATTTGCGACTATTCTTTCATACGTATGCCGTGGGCATTTTTCCGTCTCCTATAGGGCTAGCGCAACCGAGTGCGCTAATCGTGTAGGACACGAAAGCGAGACCTTCATCTCCGTTCCCTAAGTGGTTAACGCACCGCATACGAATAAGCACTCTGCAATGAGCTTTCTAGGTGATGTTTCTTTGTATGTACATATAAAATAATAATAATAATAATAACCAAACAAACAGATTGACGTATGTCTTAAAAGCGCGAATCATTATATGCACGTTATAGCGCGATAATACACTAGATGCTAAATGTAGCAAAGTATTCCTCAAGGTTATGACGAATAGCTGTCATCTTGGTTATGCATGTACACTGCATTGTGCCATACCAAACCAACCCAACCGACCCCGCCCCATTGAGCAATAGAGGTATAATATATCTAAGGGCAGGCTGGATTGTGACAATGGGGCGGGAGGGGCTCAATGGGGCGGGGTCGGTTGGGTTGGGTTGTTAAGTTTGGGTTAGTTTGGTATGGCACAATGCAGTGTACCTGCATAACCAAAATGACAGCTATTCGTCATAACCTTGAGGAATACTTTGCTACATTTAGCCTCTAGTGATAATACCTAATTACAGGCGGTGCGTTAACCACTTAGGGAACGGAGATACAGGTCTCGCTTCCGTATCCTACACGATTAGCGCACTCGGTTGCGCTAGCCCTATAGGAGACGGAAAAATGCACCCCGTGGTGTATTTTGAATGGTGGTTCAATGTTGTCGAGCGTCATTGAGTTATTTGAATAAGCCTTTAAATAAGATGAAGATTTTCCACGGAGTCGTCTGCGAAAGGCCAAGTTCTTGAGAAGGACGTGGAATAGAGGAGTTTGGATCTTCTCTTACACTTTGGCTTACATCAGCAACCCTGATGGGGCACCTCAATGACGCACTAATTTTGTGAACCAGTTTGATCAGTTAATAACAAAACGATAAATAGGCCAAACAAGCAATTTTATGGTAAATAAAAATAATTTCTGAGCGTTGTCCACGTGCATTGTGTCAAATCTTGATAAAACGTGTTGAGTGCATTACTCAACACGTTTTATAAAGATTTGACATTTACATTCCAAAGCAATCTTTGGGGTTAAAGTTCTGACGCTCCAAATGGAAACCTTTAGGAGACTTCTATTAAATATATAAGGTCTGCCAACCCTACGCACAATACAATAAATTAAAAATTAAATAAAATTTAATTTATAATTTTTAATTTGTAGTATTATACCTTCAACATTCTAAGTAAGTAAAAAGTTACAAAGCTTTAACTTTAAATTAACACTAACATGTTATAGATGCTTTGCTTAAATTACAATGCATAAGCCAATATTACATTTTAATATCATAGCTTTGATATCGCTAAAATTGCAGCACTTATGTGTCAAGTTAAGACTTTTATTATTGGTATATCCAGCTATTTTTGTATTATTAACACAGTTTGTAAATTTAACATGTTTATTTCTTAATTTGGTTTTGTAGTTTCAGGATAGCGATTGTGAAGAAAAATCATTATCTCAAGATGATTCCCTTGATGGGATGTCAGATATAATGTGCGGTGAAAACTTTAACACTTTAAAAAAAGGGCCTAACTGGATAGAAAACACAACAAAACATTCTTCCTCGCCCATAGAACCGCCTCCGGAATTTCAAGACAAACCAAAATGTCTTTTAACGGAAATTGACTTTCTTTGCGATAGGCTCACCACAGAAATTTTACGAAAGGCGTTGAACGAATATAGAGAAGCGGAGTTAAACAAATTGAGGATATTCAATCAATTTCATCGCCCACTTTATCATCTATTGGGTAAGTAACATTTTTTGTAATTTTTTATATCCACTTTTTTGGATTTTTTTTTAATTTTTTTTCTAAAATATTGAAGGCCCAACTTAGTAGCCTTTTATATTAATTAAAAACTACATTATAATTATGAATCCATATGCTGGTCAACATATTTGTCCCTTTATACATATTGATATATTCCCAGATAACATTTGGAAGTTCATTTTATCTGCATCGCGTGGGGGTAGCGCAGGTTTAAGCCGCACATTGAGGGTTTCGTGAGTCCTCAATTGGCTTACAATATAGACCCATGCATGATGATAATATAATAATAATAATTTTTTGCAGAAAGCGCATGCCATGCGGGCCCAATGCGGGCTCATGTCAAATTCTATGTGACCATGCATTCGTGAATAGACAATGAGCGCATTTTGACTAAATGAGTGAGGTCATGTGTCAAAATACGGGCTTATATAAAATTCCAAATGTTATTTGGGTTGTACCTTCTACTATTTATAATCATCTTAATTCTTTATATTAAGGGTAACTCAAGACCAAGTTTGATATTGTTCTTGACCACATTCCTTGAACTTACTTTTATGTTCTGAAAAAAAACTTGAGTATGAGTATGAGTATAAGAGACGTATAACCAGCCCCATTTCCTCTTGACTCTCGAACCCCGTACAGGCCTATGTTTACTTACGCCGATTTTTGTTCTTCCCCAGCAACTGCACGGCTTCACCCGTGTTTGCTGGGTGCGAATGTCCATTGCGTTCCGTACTGTCCCCTATTTGGGGCTCGAGAGCGAGAGGCGAATAGTTATAATAGCCATTCCCGGGTTCGCCGAGCCTATGCTATACGCTCGGTGGGGTATGGATGAGGGACGGGAGGGAGTTGGTTTTTGGGGGACAATTACGCCGACTTAAAACTAAGTACGACGCGGAATCCCCCTAGACCAGTCGGTTAGTATTACTCCAAACATTTGGGATTACTATTTGGAGTTGGGGAGTTGTTATTACGCTGCAGGGGTGTAGTTTCCTAGTCGAGGTCTTCGTCTTGTTCATTATTGTCATTGTCCGTGTCGGATAGTTCCTGAACTTGGTAAAGTGTGTCGGTTGTTTTTTTTATTTTATTTTTATTGTTGCATAGTTGCTCCCAACTGGTCTTGTTAATTTGTGAGAAGTGTATGTTTTGTGCTAACGTGTCATGAAATGTGAAGCATGGTCTACCGACTTTTTTGTCTTTAAGATCTAGTTTAAGGGTGGCTTGTAGTATGTTGTTGCGTTGTCTACGAGTGACGTGGGCCCAGTATTTTAATTGGGCTACTCTTACCCTTTTGCAGGTCGCGGGGATGTTGTAGATGGTAGTCGGGTAGGTCTGTCGTTAGTAGTGTAATGATCTTCCGTTCAAGTTTGCGTATTTTTGTCTGTTTGCTTTAGTTAGCGCGCAGGTGTTTAGGCCGTATGTTGCCGCTGGTACGATAATCGGCACACATGATAAACTCCCTCGCAAAGAAATACAACCCCCCGCGGCCCCCCCCGGAAGACAATCCACACAACGGCAATCGTACTACGACTACCGCTGTGTAGACCATCCCCCGGAGAGGCCACGGGAGGCTGCACCCCTCCGCGGAGGAGCCCATCACGCGTGCCGAGCGTAAGGCCGCAATCGCTGCGATAAGGCAGTTCCCAGTGGGGGGTATTTTTTTTACTTTTACTATAGGTCTAAGTGTTTACAAATTCCATGGATATTGATTAGAGTGCTTTTTTACTTTGTTTATGTTTTCTTAGTTTATGTGTTATGTCTTAAGTGTCAAATTTATTTGGTCTCGGTTTGTTATTCTTGAATTGTTTTGTTGACAGCTTTATTGCCCTGTTCAACTTTGGTGTGTGTCCGCGATCGGCTGTTTGTTTTTTTCTTGGAAAATTGACTTTTTATTTTATTTGTTGCCGATGATTATTGTTTTTTGTAGGGATTAGGCAATGTGCCTTGTTTAGTTTAATTTGCAAATTATGTGTTAGGTCATGCGGATGAATTGAGAATACTTAGCAATCATTTGCAGGTGGCCTGTTCCTCCCTTGTTTGGCCTCTTTTGTTTGACCAGTGAAAAACGTCCTGTTGACAGATGGTGCGACCGCTCAGGCACTGACACTTTTCACTTAACTCTTTCTTGTCACTTCACACTTAACTCCTTTGACCGTTTCACTATGTACGTTTGCACTTGTCACTTCACTTTTCCTTTTCACTTGGCCCTTAACTAATTATTGACAGAAGAGTAGTCTGTACTCACTGTAATTGTTACACTATAGTTGTCTGCACTATGAGGGCTTATTTGTTGGTTATGGTTTTAACGTTTTACGTTTACTCTCTCCGCTACATCGACTTACTCACTCGAGGGCTGGGACGAGACTGATTTATGTTTTTTTTTATGTTCTGAAAAAAAACTTGTTTACAAAATCCATAGACATATTAAAAGAGTGGACGCGTAACGCTTATTGTTGTGTATTGAAGTGAGGCCATAAGTAAACCAAAATGTCATTGTCAACTGTACACATTTGTTTTGTGTGGTTTTGCTTGGAAAGGAATTAAAGTCGTCAGTTTTGATATTAAAGTAAAATGGTGGTTTGTTCGCATTTGGTTGTAAAATTTAAATAAGTAATAGTAAGAAGAAACAGCTTGGTGTAGGCTTTGGCAGGTAAATATCTATATTATTAATTATTAAATATTATTAAATTAATTTTGAACATGTTCAAAATTTGAACCAAGCTGTCAACAGTTTCATGCGTAATTTAATTATAAATGAGATAATTTTGAATAATTTAATATTATTTAATAATTAATAATATAGATATTTACCTGCTAAAGCCTACACCAAGCTGTTTCTTCTTACTATTACTTATTTAAATTTTACAACCAAATGCGAACAAACCACCATTTTACTTTAATATCAAAACTGACAACTTTAATTCCTGTCCAATTGCGGATTCTACTAAAATGTTGGGCTTTACTCGTTTAAATTATTTTGAGATGAAACAATGGTAGGAACGTTATTGATATGCTTAATCTTTACACTTTCGCCATTTTTAATTCTTTCATCCAATCTGTTTTTGATCATTTTATAGTAGCTATTTCGCCTTGGCGTTTTGTCTTTGGCAACACATGTTTAAAATCACTATTGGCCGATTCCATTTCAAATCAGGCAGCAAAAAAGTGACAGTGACAGGTTGCTCTTTTGTTAAAATATATTGTTTTTTTACCTAAATCTAAGGTATACGTATTTTTTCTTTCGTCGATAAAGTCATTTTTCGCGGAGTTATGAGCATTTGCGATGTTATAAGCTGTAAAGCGAAGGTGCTGAATTTTCGCTGTATATTTTTTTTAAAACTCAATTTTTCTGACAAATCTTCATATGAGCCTATTGTACTTCGACATAAGGGACAAGTATGAACCAAAAGAGATAATAGACTATGAGATATGACTAAAAGGTTAGGATAAACAAAATGGCGGTCCATTTTAAAAAAAATACAAAAACTTGAATATCTCAAATATATCATTATTTTTTTTCACAAAAATTTAAAGGTGGATTCTTTGAAACATAACAGTCAAAATACAATTTGTCCGATAGCGGCTGTTGCTGTTGGAAACAGTATTTTGTTTTTAATTAGCGAAATATTGAACCTTTATTTAACATTGCATACATTACTGCGTGTGACGATTGAATGCCTTTGATATTTTTAGATTTTTCCCATTCTTCCAGTTTTAATTTCCGAAAATTATTTAAATCATCATTACTAATCAATAGCAGCGTAATGGCAGAAGTGTAGGTTTTTACTTTTGTAACAAAACTTTCGGAGTTATCTATTGATTCTAGTTGCGACTTTTGTAAATTATGAACAGTCGCAAAATGTTTTACGAGGCCACCAATTCCGTCGCAGGCTCCTTTTCCATGCCCAGTAGCAGAAAACAACCATTTCTTGTTATAGGGTGAATTGGGTAACTCATAAAATTGATTTCGATTCTTAAAGTGAGCTGCTGCTCCATCACTTATAACAGTTAGGTCTGTTATATTATTAAATTCTGACTGTTGTTTCAAGTTTTCTACTATTAGATTCATTGCAAGTAAAGCATGGGCTGAATCGTGGGACTTATCATTACTTGCGACTTCAAAACTTCGAACTTCATTTCCACAATAACAAACGGCCGTAAATATTGATACTGCTTTTGTTTTCCAGTAAGCACTTTGAATTTCATTTTTCATAATAATTTTCCAATTCCATTTTCCATTGCAAAGTCGCCATGTACAATTAAATGAGTAGTATTAAGTTTAGCTGCTTCTTTAGCTTTTTTGATTTCTTCGCGTTATATATTTTTGACATACATATGCGTAATTGCTTTACCAGACCATTTTAAAAATTCTTTAACAAACGCTGAACAAGACGTGGTTCGTTTTTCTAACTCTCCATTATTCCACAATGCAAAAGTTATTTCCCCATTAATTATTTCTTCAGGAATTCGCAGTGATTCTGGAGTAATGCCTTCAGGGTTAGGACATTTTTTGCATTCTTGTAAATAACATTTATCTGTGGATGTCGCACATATAAATTTTGAGAAAATTTCATTGCTCAATGCATTTTTATCAAAATTAGAGGAATTTCTTACACCATTGAGAGAATTTAAACAAAGTTCGAAGTTGGCGCAGTACACGCATAAACACACATTTTGGGGCGAATCAATTAATACCCAAGAAGGGCGTAGAGAATAAAATTTTGATTGGCTTATTTTAATATCGGGGTACATGTTTAGTAAGACTTTGTATGCTTCATTAACGCTTCGTGTCATAAATCGCTTCACCTTTTTTACCTTTACTCCATTTTCAATAACTGATTTTACATCATTTTTGTTAGGACTTTGTTCCGAACAATCAAGATCGTCGTTTAGATAGAGTTCAAGTGCCTTTTGCTTTGCAGTCTCTTTTAACGGATGACCATTGTATGGATCTGGTAAGTGGTACATACTATTGTATCTCTCAATTTTCTAGCTTCATCAATCATGTACTTCGAAGCTTCCGGGAATAAAGATTGTATTTGAGTTTTTGTGAAACTCTGTGGCAGAACAGTGAGTAAACGAATTTTTTCTGATTTGGTTTGGCAATTTTTAAGAGCTATTTCAATGTTATTAACCCATTCACTGCAAGGAGGGCATGCACTTTTCGCCATTGAAACATCATAAATTTTTGACAGCTTGTTTGTAGTTTCCTGCTCGAATAAGTCCATAACCTGTCTTCTTTTTCTTTCCGCATAAGTATTTTTACTGTTAGCTTCTACATCAGATGGATTTGAGAATCGCACAGAACCAATAACATTTGAAATTTTATGTGTGTATTCATATAGTAGCAATGACTTTTCTTCTGCAGAATTATTTGGAGAGTTGTATGAAACAGAAGGGTATGTCTCTAAATCCATATCAGCTTCTTGAGACCCCAATTCTGTGTAGTTCTTATAGCGGTTATAACAATTTTTACAAACTAAGGTGTCAGCGTTTATTTTACTACGTGGAAAATGCGTTTGTAGCAAACTTGCCAATGCCCCCAACTGAAAAAACTTATTATTTCTGCCTTTGTAGATGGCCTTTTTGTGTGCTTTATTAAAGTCTGGACATTTGTACCTGGTCATAGGAAACGATTGTGGCTGCGAATCATCCATCATTGAATAATAATTATTATCTAAAATCATTATGAGTCATTCCATAACATATTTTCAAAAAATATTCGTTCATATCCGTATATTATATTATATATAATATATTCTATTATATTATATATAATATATTCTATTATACTTATCAAATAATATTTGTTGCAAAATAACAGCAAACAGTGGTCGACAAAACTATATAGTATACTCTAATCTAGATTATTATTAATAAACTGTATCACAATATTGTATGAAATATACAAAAAGTTGACTTGTCAGAGCGTACGTAAAAAAACATTCGTTACTAAGGTAATTAAATAAGAAATCAGCGCCTTCTGCTTTAAAGAATTTACATTGCAATTTTACGGAGCCGTTTTCAATACAGTTTATTAAATATACACTTAATATCATATTAATAATATGTATCATTTAAATCAAAAACGGCCACTTTGAGATTTGTTACAAATAATTGGGTTTGTTTATCCATTTTAACGCTTATTTAATTTTATTTTCTGAAAATATTGCAATATAAGTATTTTTTGTGTATAAAAGTCTTAATTTATGATACTAAAAATACATAAATTGCATTATTTTTAGCAAACAAGACGAAATTAGAGTTAAACTGACAGATGTCAAATGTCATATAATTTTAACAAATAATTGAACCAATCATATATTAATCGTTTATGTTATTAACAGACTGCTTAATAGCTTTTATTGCAGCTGCATACATTTTATCGAGATTATGTTATAAATAAACTAAAAATAAAAATTATTTTTCGACCTGCACATCAAAAATATATACCCCCAAACATAAGTAAGCATTTATATATCAAAAAACACTTTAATATAGTAATGTATGCAATGTTAAATAAAGGTTCAATATTTCGCTAATTAAAAACAAAATACTGTTTCCTACAGCTTTTTAGCCGCTATCGGACAAATTGTATTTTATTGTTATGTTTCAAAGAATCTACCTTTAAATTTTTGTGAAAAAAAATAATGATATATTTGAGATATTCAAGTTTTTGTATTTTTTGAAAAATGGACCGCCATTTTGTTTATCCTAACCTTTTAGTCATATCTCATAGTCTATTATCTCTTTTGGTTCATACTTGTCCCTTATGTCGAAGTACAATAGGCTCCTATGAAGATTTGTCAGAAAAATTGAGTTTTAAAAAAAATATACAGCGAAAATTCAGCACCTTCGCTTTACAGCTTATAACATCGCAAATGCTCATAACTCCGCGAAAAATGACTTTATCGACGAAAGAAAAAATACGTATACCCTTAGATTTAAGTAAAAAAACAATATATTTTAACCAAAGAGCAATCTAAGACAGTCACTTTTTTTGCTGCCTGATTTGAAATGGAATCGGCCTATTACTTTTAAGTTTGATGCATTTTTTAAGATTAAGTAAACATCCCGCTCCCCGGAGAGACACACCTTAATGGGTCGAGATTTACCACCAATGAATCTTCCCAAGCGAACAGACTTAACATCCTTATTGACATTGGAGAACAGATTTGTCACAAAATCTCTATCTTGTGAAATTATTTCATTAGCGTTATGTTCCGATATATTGAACAATATTATATTACTTTGCTTCCCCTCCCTTACTGAAACTTCAGAAATAATATCCTCAATTACATCATCAGACACAACTGAGGTCGTTTGGCTAAAACCTTGCTTTAAATTTATAACCTCTTGAAGTTAACAGCTTTAAGCGAGTTAAGGTCATTTACAATGCTTTCACAGCGGGTGCATGACCATGTAAGTCCTTTAGTGACTTTTATGGCACGTATTTCAGCGTTACTTATTTTAATACATCCTCCATTGAAGAATTTTTTACAGACACAACACATCAACGATTTGTGTTCTTCTGTAGCCTTAGAACAGCAATTGCAAATTAAATTAAGCATAATTTTAATAATCAAATATGCTGGGGAATTTTTATAACAGCGGCAACCCTGCTTACGCTGACTTGCGTAAAATAGTATATAAAATCTTCTTAAAAACAGTGTTAAAAACACTTATAGTGGATTTATGCAGCACAAATTAACATTAAGATTAGCTTTAACATTAAGATTAAGATTAATTTAACATTAATAGGAGGGTATTAATGCAGCAAAATTAAGCATGCGTATAAGTTAAAGTAATTTTGACATCTGGCATTTTTGGTTTGTTTGAATTTTGTTTTAATCCCGTTTTAGCATCTGTTAACTAAAATAAATGAAAACTATAAACTCCACGTCAAACAATAAACCAAAGAACACAATCATTGAATGAAAAATCAATCATTCAGCAGTAGGTTTCATTTTATTTTCGGGTATGTTGGCATTACTGACACGGCCTAAATTGCGCCGCAAACCTGCGCAGTAGGAATAAAAATTAACATTATCATTAAGAAGATAAAAGTTGGCCATCTCTTAATGTTAACTTAATGCTAAAGTTAATGTGTTGCATAAAAGCTTTCAATGGATTACATTCATTTAACTTCTTAATGTTAATGTTAATCTTAATGTTAATGTGTGCTGCATAAATCCAGCATTCATGCGACTTAATTTTTCTACAAAACTTACAGTTTAGTCAATGTATTATGAGAACACTTGGTTATAAGATTTATAATAGGGCAGAAGTTCACTTTTTACGAAATGCACTTTGAAGCGAAACCTCTTAGCACAACATTGCCGAAAATAAGTGAAAATAAATATATATACAGGGTTTTTAAAATTTTAGGGTGTGGGGCTGAATTGTTAGGTGTGGAATTTTAGTAAAATTGTTTTCACTATTATTTTAATGTAGTGGCTAGAGACACGTCCACCGTGGACGAACTATAATTCACGCCTAAATTGGTGCGATAAATAGGTTTCTTACTTTCATGCAACCCCTTATTTGATTGGGAAAATAAAATGTGTGTTTGCACAGATTTCCGAGGTCGCAAATTTCTTTATTTATTGGACTATAATTAGGTTATGCATAAACACTGTTATTATATATTTTAGGGAGACCATATTGGACTCCAGAATTTATCCCGTTCAGTCCCTGTCACCATATCGGCAGACCGAGTTCGAGAAGTTCTCTTGGGTCGTCTCGGCTTTCGAGTTCGCACAACTCCTTGTCCGTCCCTACTGCGCATCGGGTCGACGATTCGACATTCATTACGCAGGCTGTGTCCCATGACACTCTCTCATCAAATCAGATCAGCGATCTGTATAACGTGCCGTTCGACAGTGATATGTACGCGGTGCCCATCGATGTCGTCAAGCCGCCGCTAAAACCCAAACGCAACCTGCATAACAAAAAGAGAAGGCGTAACACGTCTTCCGGCTGCAGGGAGCTCGAAGTGAGGCAGAGTCGCTTGATTCCTAATAAGAAGACTACAATTAAGGCTGAAAAGGTAAGAATAAAGGTAATTTAGAAATTATGATGGTTGTTTTGTTTGAAAAAATCAACTATTTCCGAAACGTCGAATGTGTATTGCAAAGTAGCCCCTATTATTTTTTAATTGCCATAAAGAAGGTAATTGCAATCGTCATTATATATTGGCGCTGATTTTTATCAAAATAAGATAAACATTGACATTTTTAACGAGTTTCAAATAAAACAAATTATTAAAGAAACTAAGCGTGAAAAATAAAATGTTTGGGATGATCTACTTGAAATCACAACAATTAAAGGCCAACAAAAGAAGAACCCTTCCGCTGATTTATTCAAACTTTTTAATACTAAACCATGGAAAAAGTTGCACTAAACTGCAAAATCTTTGATTCTTTTTGAACACAATTTTTATTTTAACCAGTTTAAAAATTGCTACATTTTGCAGCTCTACATCCAGTTATTCCGTCCTGATGAGTACATCTACTCTACCATTTAACTAATAGAAGATAAAAGTCAATTTGTATTGGTTTTAACAAAAAAGATATATATATATATATATATATATATATATATATATGGGGCAAAATTTGCCAAGTGTACCAGGTGAAAAAATTTTTGTCACCGATTTTGTTTAAACTTTACTTATTTGTTGTTCTTATAACGAAGAATCATAGCATAAAATTTTTTTGCTTTAGGATTGTTCATTCAAGAGTTATGGATTATTGAAATTTATCGATTTTTTACTTTTTGGTGAAATCGCTTTTTATTTAAAAATTCATAACTTCTGTTCATCTCTTTATTAAATATTTCAATTTAACCACCTTAAATGATTTTTTCCGTACTTTTCAATAAGCTATACCGTTTTTGCAAAAAAATAAAAATTACAATTTTTTTTTTGAAATTTTGCAAAATTTTGCATTTTTTGAAACAATGTGTATTTTTTAATTTTTTTTAAAATAGCATAAAATCCAAGTTTATTATGTTACCTTTGAATAAAAAAAAAATTTAGAGTGGGCCCGACATGTAGAAGGGAAGTTTTTCATATTTGAATGCCGCACGGTCTAGCCATCGAATAGCTACTACACTGCCGTATGCGTTTATACCCAGTAGATGCGAGTAAACGAATACAAAATGATAATTTAAAATGTAAAATTATGTTTGAGTAGTCAATGATGTATTTTAAATATTTATACTGCCGCACGATATAGTTTTTTTTATTGTGTATTAGTCCTTCGGAGGGGACTTTAAGCCCGCGGTCCGTTCCTACCCCTAACCCGCACAAGCCATTAAGTTGGCTTATGGGACTTCTTAAGAAGTAAGGGTGGAACTAAAAGAGCACTTTTGTATATAAACTATATTTTTTTGCACAAATTGTTTAAGCATATACATAGATTTCGCAAGGAGGTCGATGATATTAGATTGTGCAAAAAAATACAGTACCATTTTGTGTTTTTTCGTCCTAGTTTTTTAAGTTGTAACAAAATAGTTTTTCTTTTTAAATAATCTTTTATTTTTTGTTATAAATTTCTTTAAAACATGTTGTTTTGTTTGTATTTAAGATATTATAGTAATAAAACATTGCAAATCGTTAAAATTTTAATTTGTTTAAAAAAGTTTAACTGCTCCGTTTTTCGTGCCGGTGAGTGTATATTAGGGGGATTCAAAAAAAGTGACTACCCTTATATTTTTGATTACACCCCCTCATTTGGTTTACTCTATAAAAAGACGAATGCGACTAGGAAAATCGAAATAAAAAAAAATTAGAGGTCGCTCAAGTCGATTTTAGTTTTTTTTGCCGAAAAAAAGAAAAATTTTGTTGAATCCTCAAAGTCGTGTAAAATCGACAAATTTAAATAAAATTGCATAAAATTTTAAAAGAATATTAGTGAATCTTTATAGTTTACGAAAATATTGTTCATTTTTTAAATTAAAAAAAAAACATTTTTTAAAATTTTTTTTATCAAGGAAAAATCTTTTGTTTATAACAATTGAGCTCCTTTTGCGCACGACATGTTGTGCATGTGAAATTATTCTTAGGCGTTCCTAGAACGTATTTCAATCGTAAAAACTGTGCGCAAAATATAAACAAAGAGCTGAATGAATTTTGTCTTGAAATATCAGACAAAATTAAAACTTTTTTTGAGAAAAAAATCTTTAATATGGTTTGGATATAACAAATAAATATTTTTTATTTCAAAAAAACTTCTTTTATCTTGTTTGTATTTGTAAAAAATAATTTATATTTTATTGTTTACGTATTACACGATTTAACTTCAAAGTATAGTTTACGCCATGTTAATGAGATTTCTTGTTACCTAATCGTTTAGTGCTAATCATCTTAAAGCCTAATTTATAGATTGCCTTCTCTCTTCCTCCCGCCTGATCGTAAAACATAAACAATACGTAAGCCGTAATTGCATTTATAGATAAACGCCGTCAATTTGTAAATGCTACAAACGGCTTGCATATTGTTTATGTTTTACGATCAGGCGGGAGGAAGAAAGAAGGCAATCTATAAATCAGGCTTTAAGATGATTAGCACTAAACGATTAGGTAACGAAAAATCTCATTAACATGGCGTAAACTATACTTTGAAGTTAAATCGTGTAATACGTAAACAATAAAATTATTATTAAATTATTATTATAAATTATTTTTTACAAATACAAATAAGATAAAAGAAGTTTTTTTTAAATAAAAAATATCTATTTGTTATATCCAAACCATATTAAAGATTTTTTTCTCAAAAAAAGTTTTAATTTTGTCTGATATTTCAAGACAAAATTCATTCAGCTCTTTGTTTATGTTTTGCGCACAGTTTTTACGATTGAAATACGTTCTAGGAACGTCTAAGAATAATTTCACATGCACAATAAGTCTGCGCGACGTAAACTATAAAGATTCACTAATATTCTATTAAAATTTTATGCAATTTTATTTAAATTTGTCGATTTTACACGACTTTGAAGATTTAACAAAATTTTTCTTTTTTTCGGCAAAAAAAAAACTAAAATCGACTTGAGCGACCTCTAATTATTTTTTATTTCGATTTTCCAAGTCGCATTCTTCTTTTTATAGAGTAAACTACCAAATGAGGGCATGTAATCAAATTTCAGGGTCGATAGACGAACTAAAGTAATGGAGAAATCTAAAATTTTAACTTCTTTTATGCATTTTTGTAGGTTTTACATAATAAACAAAAAACATACACTTCTCTTATTTTTAGATTATTTCAAAACCCGAAAGACAAAAAATTTTGAAAAAAATCCTATAAACATATTTTTTGACGCTCTTTAAGATAAAATGAAAATAAAAAAATTTTGTTCAGAAATTCTCAAAAAAAAAAATATTTTTTTTTTTCAAATTTAAATTCCCAAAAAACGCCACATTAATTTTTTTTTAATAATCATCATGATGATAGCCCTAAATTTTCCGCAAATTTTGACTACTTATTTTTGGGGGACTCAAAAACTGTAGAAGTTATGAATTTTGTTGTAAAGAAATGCATGTGAAATCGTCGCTACAGATCCAAGCCTACGCGTAGCTACGCCGCGGAGCGCGGTTCCGAGAGACGTGCGCTCGGTCTTACGGAGAAAAAATGTTTTAACGATTCTCCCTCTTTCTCTCACACACAATGATGCTCAAATCATCATCATTTGGAACTTTTCTCAAAAGGATTCAGAAGGTTCCCAAATCATTATTAATTTTTAAGCAGCATTAAAAATGAGTTATTTTTCAAATAATTTTGTTTACCCCAGAAAAAGTTTTTGGCGCTTAGTTCCTTTTCGATAAACGCTATCCAAATTAGAAAAAGAAATAATTTGGAGTTTTAATAAAATATAGTTTGAAAATTGTGTGTGAGAGAAAGATAGAGAAAGAGAGAGAAAGAGAATCGTTAAATCAATTTTTCTCCGTTAGACCGAGCGCACGTCTCTCGGAACCGCGCGCCGCGGCGTAGCTACGCGTAGCGACGATTTGACATGCGACGATTTGACATGCATTTCTTCACAAAAAAATTCATAACTTCTACAGTTTTTGAGTCCCCCCCAAAAATAAATAGTCAAAATTTGCTGCAACCTTAATTTAAATTAAGAAAATGTAGAAAATTGATGATTTTATTTTTTATCGGGTCGCGAGCTTCTAATATTTTTGAATTGTGGGTCGCCAGCCAAAAAGGTTAAGAACCGCTAGGAACTAAAGTTTAGTTCCTTTATCGACCCTTGAAGCAAATCGGAAACATGAAGTCTTGGCCGATTTGGCGTGGACTGCCCCATATATCAAAATTTTAAAATAGTATTGTTAAGCCCAAAATTACACTTTTTTTAACCGCCGCGGCGGCAATTTAATATTTAACAATACCTATATTTGTTAGCATTTTAATCCCACGTCACTGCCAGTTTTGGTTGGCAATATGGTGACCGGGATCGCTTTTATTTTTGTCTTAATTAGTCAAAATCTAGCCATTAAAGTGGTAGGTGTCAATAAAAAATTAATTGAGATTGTACTTTCCAGCAAACAAGTGATTGGGCTCATTTCTAAGTCAATTTAATTGACCCAAACATTTGGCTGCATATTACCGTATTGTGGCACAATATTTATGATTATTGACAGATTGAAAAATTAAGTGATTACTGCTTAAACTAGGTATTTTGAAAATATTGATTAATACAATTTTCCTTTGAAAAAACATTGGCCATTCATTGATACCTACCATTGGCCATTGTTTGTACAATTTAATTGACCTGAAATGGCACATTACTTGGCAATGGTGGAGCAATTTTATTGTGTGCTCTAGAACATTAATATAATATAAATTTAAGGCATTACGATTATTTCCATCATGGTCATTAGAAAAGGAAAATTCTTTGTTGCGTTACTTAAATTTAATAATGGCGTGTAAATTAAAATTTAACGGCAGAAATGTTATTAACAACTTAATTTGAACGCATTGCGCGTCTATTAGCCAATGACTTGATTGTCATTGATATTAACACACTGTGAGCGAGTAAAAAGGGCAAAAAGCCAAAACCTAATTATATTCACTATAATTATTGTTTTAATGCTTGTATCATGTGATAACCTAATTATTTTTACTGCATTACAATTTTTCCCTTAATACAATTTTTTTGTATAAATTTCCATTTATATATTGGTTATCTATAAAAGATGTATACAATTCTAGCAATAAATATAATAATAATGAGTTACTCCTTTACTACTATTGTAATTTGTCAAAATTAATAATTTGGTTGTAAGAATATAGACATTGAAACAAATTGACCTAAGATTGGCCAATTGGTCTTATACAAGACCGCGTTGGAAGGTAATGTTGCTTAATTAAATGTGCAAACATTGACACCTACCATTGTTTGCATAATTTCATTTAATATGTTTGCTTAATCTTTGACCAATTCTAGCCCAAATTTTGTTTGATAGGACAATTTGTTTTATTTTTTCTTTGAAACGCACATTAAACATCAGTTTGTCAAAATATGCTAAATTTCGCCACTCTACGACCCACAGTGGACTGGATGACCATTCTAGCTTGAGAAAATGTTTTTTTTCATGTTGAATGTATTCTTTGTGTACCAAAAACAAGGATAAATATCAAAACAATAGGATTACGTTTTGCCTCACTTTTTTAATCTTATGTATCTGGGTGTAAATTGTTATAAAATTAATAGAATTTACGATTTTATGGCATTATCTTAATTTTTTTTGAAAATCATACATGGTAAGACATAACTTCCATGACCTATCTTTATTATGACTACATCATATTATTAATAATATAAAGCATTAAGGCCCGGTTTTTCAACTCACATAAACTTAAGATTACCTGCAGTTAAGCTGTATGTTATATCATACCGCTCTTATGTTCTGTGTTACCGCTACTGAAAGCAGAGGTTAATTCCAATTCTTAACCTCAAAATACATTTACCTGGTGAAAATAAATACATTTTAATTTGATATATTGTAATATCTTTAAATAGTACTAATTCAGTTTATTTTTACTGTTTTAATATACGGGTCTATCACAGGGTTTGTATAGGACAAATAATAATAATGAATATTCTATAAATAAAATTTAATAAATATTACAACAAAAATAAAAACAAATATACAGGGTCTGTAACTTCAAGACGCATTCCTTACAATATTTTAAGAAATAATTTTATAAACGTGTGTACTAAAATGCTTCCTTACTCAGAAACAGGGTGTCAAAATTATTTTTTAATTTTTTGAATATCTACTAATAATAATATCTATCTAACGAAATTTGTTATTGTTATTGTTTTTGATGGCGCTGAATCCAAATAGGCTGTTTAAAATTTGAAAATATTATACCAAGCTAAATTAAAATTTTTCCAAAACAACAGATCTAAAAAATCCGTTCAAATGCCTCAAAAAAGTCTTCTTGATAAAATTCATGGTTTATGAGAAAAACGCTTTGTAACATTTTTGGACCACCAAACAAGTTGGATATGTAAAAATAAAATTAGCTAGAAAGATCTGTTTCTTTGTAGAATTTTTCGGTTTTGGTTGCCTTCCTTTTATCCATCTCCATCAATATGTAAAGTAATTAGCAAATCAGGCTCGAGATGTAAACCTCATCCTTGTGAATAATAATATTATTATAATATGAGAGAGTATATTATAATATAATATAACTGAAAGCATAGAAATAACAAAAAAGTATGGTAACCCATGGTAGTAGTGGTAAACTGTTTTTTGTAACCTCTTTATAGGGTAGTTAAAAAAACTCTTGATGCAAGCTATTATTTAAAAAATATACACATACATTCTTATAAGTAACGGTCACATTCACAATGTGACTGGTCACGAAAACAATGTGACCGTTCATTGGCCAATTCTTAATTTAATTGTATAGTTGTATAAAAAAAATGTGCCCAAAGAAACAGTGGCGTAGCTCGGAGGGATTGCATTTTAGGACACATGTTGCATGATAATGACCTCAAAAAAACTCCCATCTAGGCCAGAGAATCTTGCAATATGTAATAAATTATAAGTTGCAAAAAGCACAATTAATAAACAGAATATAAGATTTTTATAATAAAAATCCTATAAAAGGTTGGTAAATTCAAATCCTTGGACGGCATTCCAGAAGCTACTGTTTTCTTTTTTGCCTTAAAAACTGGAACCAATGTAAAAAAGGCTTATTAACAGAGGGTTCCTCATGGTACCTTACGTTGTTGACTAAATTACGCATAACTAATGTTATTTATATTTCAGTATCAATGGGCTTGTGCACAAGACAACAAAAGACATAGTGTGGCTGGCACATCAGCACCCATTCAAGGTGAACCGATTCACATGACTTTGCAAGAAGTGCGACAGTACCTTCAAACGTTGTATTCGAGTTCGTCGGACTCGTCTGAGCCGAAAGAGAAGATATACAAGCCGAAGCCGTCGATACTAGTTACAAACAACAACAAATACCCGCCAGAGAGTAGTATTATTGTAAATAAAGATAGTAGTACAGTTATAAGTCCTAATAGTAGATCAAAGAAAAACACATTCCTGATAAACATTAAGAATAAGAAAGTGAAAGACTCTTGTGATAATGTCGGCAAGCAGATGAGCATGTCGCCGACAAAGAAGGAAGACAAAAGAAAGAAGGCCCCGGCGCGATTGTTTTCTTTCAAACAAACCCTGTGCAATATGTTTAGATTTCGAAGGTTTCTTTCACCAGAACACGTCAAGGCTGATAGAGGGAACGATTTGCAATACAAAATTTCCTCCTATGGGAGCAACAGCAACTTGCTTGACGATGTACCTAATAATTTAAGCAGCAGAGCATTGCCGCCGTTGCCCTCCAAGGAAGGAGCCATTGTTACTGAAGATAAAACTTTGGATTTTGCCACAAATATACAGCGCGTAAAAGATGTAAGTTAGCTCAAATAATTAATATTAATATTAATTTATGGTAACTACTATGGATGGCAGATTAAAATTATTTTTTCTATATATCGGCATTAATTTTTTTTTGCAATTTTTAGGTTGTAATAAAAAAATGTAATACATTTATTTAACTAACCAAAATTTATAATTTATTATAAATATACCAAAACAAATAAACATAATAAATATAATTATCATTATATATTATTACTAGAGATGAGAGATGAGCACTTTTAAAAGAGTCCATAAATGCTCAAAATTGCTTAATTAATAAAGTTCAATATATGGAAAAAAAGTATTAAAAAAAAACTTCAAAAAATTGCTTTAGAGCACTTTTTAGCATTTATGAGCATTTTAAAAATAACCAGGTTATGTTTAGGCAGGAAAATCCAACATACAGCACTTTTTAAAAAGATCGAGTGTTTTTTGACCATTTATAATCATTATTAAAAGTGTCCATCCTTCTCTAATTATTACTTATTTTTTTTTAATCAGTTTATAATAACAAAAAAGGTTTATTTTTATTAAAAATTTTTATCGGCGCTTTTAAATTAAGGTTCTCAAAGACAAGCTGCCTATAAAAATCGTTTTTTATACTGATAGGCCGTGATAGGCATATTTAAAAATATATATTTCTTTTTCAATCTATCAATATTCAAAATTTTTCATTCAAAATTATAAAGTTTTGTCATACTGATACCTATATTTAAAAATATATATTTCTTTTTCAATATATCAATATTCTTAAATATATTGATATAAAAAAATATTGATATAGCATTGCCATCCCTAGTAACTAATGCATTTATTTATTTATAAAGTCAAGTTTAATCAATACAGGATTTAACTAAAATGCTTGCCCACACTTCATACCTGAACAAGAAATACAATTTATTTGTTCCTAATTTTTAAGAGATTCTGCAAGCAATTTTATTTTATTATTGTGCCCAAGGGCGTAGCCAGAATTTTGTTTATGGGGGGCAGGCAAATGAAAACTAATGTGCTACACAAACTTTACATGCAATTGCACATGAAACATTTGGAAATTTTCAGAAACTTAATTTTTAAAATTTTCCCTAACCTTATCGTTTTATACTCTTAAAATCTTTCGTTTCATTCTAATAATAATAAATTATTAGCCATGTCAAGGAGGTTGTAAAGAAATAGGATTGGTTTATTTTCTCCATTACTTTTGCACAGCCACTTCAATAAATGAGGTAAAATCTTCGACTTCATGCTCTCCTGATCCTTAAAACTTAAATCTCTACACATTTTAATAAAAGAAGCAATTTTTATGTTATTTAAGAATAAATACTTTATTTTTACTTGGTAATAGGCTTTTTTAAATACAATTTTTTCGAAAAAGAAACTATGTACTAGCATTTTAAACAAAAAAATTGCGAAATTTGCTAAACATGTTAATTTTTCACGTATTATCCATAGTATCCAAAGTACGGATAATACGAGAATAAATGCATAAGTAAATTTTTCTGAAAATTCGGAAAATTGAAAGAAAATTCAATTCATATGGATAATAGAAAAATGAAAAAGTATTTTTTTTACAAAATTCAGTTTTTCCTTTTTTTTTTTCGAAAAAAAAAACAATTTGAACTAAAAATTTATTTGTTCATAATTTTTTAAGAGGTTCTGCAGGCAATTCTGACCACGTGTGTCCAACAGCGAGTATTTTATCCTCATTTTCTTCTAAAATTTGTCTGAAAGGCCCCCTGCAAATTTTGGAAATTTTTAGAGACTGTTAATTTTGAAAGTGTAAATTTTGAGAATTTTAATACTTTATACTTACCTTATCGTTTTCTTCTATTATAACCTTTTATATATTACCCATGTCAAGGAGGTTGTATAGAAATGGGCTATTCATCTTACGGCGACCGCCATATTGGATTTATTTATTTTCATCTCCCTTACTTATGCACATCCAGGTCAATAAAATTTATTTAATGAGGTAACATCTTTGATTTTATGCTTTCCGACAATTATCCCGCGGTAGTTGTATTTAGCGTTTTAAAGCGTCTAAAACAACCGAAAAAATTTGGAAAAAAACCTTTTTTCCGTTTATTCCCCGGGACTTGGAAAAATTGTCATTTTTGGGAAACACTGCAGTGTTTATTCTGTCATCTGATAATGTCATATACCGTAGTAGCCCTGCTTAAAATACCCCATAGAGACCTATACAAAATATTCTATAGGGCGCTACCGGTTTCAATATGTGCATTTGTCCAAGGTTTTTTCCGGATACAGCCCGATAGAAAATGTATAGGAAATTACCTATAGGCACACCATAACTTTTACATTTTCCCTATTGAGACTGATAGAAAATAACTCAATGAAGGATATATAGGGATATCCCTATAGAACAACCATAAAACATTTGACAAAATTTTATTAAAACCTATGGGGTCCTATAGGGAAAAAACTAATTTCTACATTTATGTGTATTTTCCCCATTGAAACCGATAGCAAATAAATCAATGGTGGATATCCCTATAGAACAACCATAAATCTCAACTATGGGTCCTATACAAACCGATACACCCTATAGAAACACCATACATCCCGATACAAATATCTATCGGTTTGAACAGGGTCTCTATGGGGTATTTTAAGCAGGGAGGAGTAGACAAATAACAATATTTTATTAAAATGTGTGTATTTTTAAATTTTCCAAAATATTAAATTGTTCCCAAAAATGACAATTTTTCCACCATGATGGCGACATCTCTGTGTTTAATAATACCTAACAAATTTAGACCAATCCAACCTCACTTTCTCCCAAATAATTTTTCTATGGTATTTTTTAGAAACTTAGAAAAAGTAAAGTCTAAAACACGTTTGGAGTTGCATATTCCGCTCTCGTGAAAAAGTCAAACTCGCCTTCAGCTCGTGTGAAAAACTTTTCACTCGAGCCGAATATGCCGTGTTCCAAACTTGTTACAGAATATACTATTATCGTTGAGTGAAGAAGTATTAATCAATGCTATTATTATATAATGGAAATCTGCAATACCGTCTTAGTACGCCTTTTGTACAAATGATGTCGGTAAAAACATTTTTAATTACATAGTTATTATCTAAGTATAATGTTTTTATGCAATTAAATCTAAAAAAAAGTTATTATTATTGCAAAATTTTCGGTAGAATATTGATGTCTATCGGTAGATCAGTAGAATTTTTCAGAAATCGGTAGATCTACCGAATATTCGGTAGGCTTGGCAACAGTATAATACTATTATGAATAAATTCATTATTTTCACTTAGTAAGCCGATTTTAGCTTTTTTTAATCCAATTTTTCCGAACCTTTTAGAAAAAAATCGTTTTTTTGAGCCTTTAAAACACTACTAGCACAATTGGGAAATTTGCAGAAAATTGAATTTTTTTTACGTATTATCCATAGTATTCTTAGTAATAAAGCAAAATAAATGACAACCTGTCACTTGTGCTACTGATACTTAAAACCTTTATGGCGGTAGTTGTATTTACTTAAACCGTTTGAAACCTATCTTTGATGTTTATTTTTGTTGCAACTTGCACTTAACGACGTGACTTACCTCTGCGCCTTAATGCTCTCCTGATACTTACAGTTGTATCATATTTTTCGCTTTAACCTCGCCAAAGAATTTGTACTTATAATTCAGCCCGCAAAGGCTAAAATCTAAATATTTCAAAATGCCCTTACTTTTTTCTTCATATTTTTTACTTAATCGAATCCGACGTTAAATTTACGTGAAATATTTATGAATTCGACTTCCGCACTTTGGAGTCATTACAAATAAAATCATCAACAAACGAAATTTTGGATTTTGTTGGAATGTTCTTTAGGGTCCCAAAAATAGAATTAACTAGAAAATATACCTACCTGCCAAAAGATTCTGGATAACTCCCCTAAAATACCAAAAACTTTTTACAATCAAGTACTACCTCCTTTCATACTAATATTATTAAGAACAAAAAGACAAATGCTTAGTGAAATCCACAAATATGATAACCAAAACCTAAAATCTAAATTCAATGATTTAAACAAAGACATTAAAATATTAATTTTGCAATATAAATCCACCAAATATCTTAAAGCATGCAAGAATATAAGTAACTTAAAAGGCAAAAACTATTGGCAAGAAATAAAAAAACTTTCAAGTCACAAAAAGAACACTCATAAAAATGTTGAAATTGTAGAAAATAATGTTGTGCTCAATGAGGACCAGGATGTGGCAGATGCTTTTGGCAGACATTACAAGAAAATATATGAAATGTCGGAAGATATAAACTTTGATGATCAAAGCTTCAAAGAAATAAATGACTGGTACGAGTTGTACTTTAGCGACCATACCGACCCTGGAGAAGTGCCTGAAGTTACTGAAGAGGAATATTATCATGTACTAAATACCGGCAAAAATACAGCACCAGGTTATGACCATATCTCCAAAAAGACTCTTAAAAACTTATGTGCTGAATTCCATGGAAAAGTTTTAGATATATATAATTACTGTAATAAAAACCGATACTATCCACAAGAATTTAAAAAAGGAATTATAATAAACATTCCTAAACCTAATTGCGATCTGACAAAAACAACCAATTTTCGCCCAATTACTTTACTACCAGTCATTGGAAAAAACTTCCACCCCATCAATTTGGCTTTAGAAAAAATTCTTCCACAATCCATCCACTGCTTATTCTAACTTCGAATGTTCAAACAAACAATCTAAAAGGCAACAAATCAGCAGCTCTCTTCATGGACATTAGTAAAGCATTCGATAGTGTGTGGCATGCCGGCCTATTATACAAATTATACAGCTTAAATTGTCCAAAATATCTAATTCACTTTATAAATAACTTTCTAAAAAATAGACTGAGTCTAGTTAAACACAATCAAAAATTGCTTCACTTACAAAATCTCTGCAATAATATAATCCAGTTTTTTTCCAAGTGGAGAATAAAACCAAATCCCAATAAAACTCAACTAATAATATTCAATCACAAAATAAATATAAATTCCCCCTCTATAAAAATTTTTAATCAACAAATACGACCATCTAATTTATGCAAATACCTTGGAATACATTTAAATAGCAAACTCAATTTCAATTTACATGCCAAATTAATTAAAACCAAGATGATTACAAGAGCCAAGCTGACAAGCCTGACATACAAGAATAACCTTTTTCTATGAGAATAACGGTATACAACCTGAAACTGCGATTAAAATCTATAAAATGATATGCAGGCCCATTATTGAATATGCCTTCCTAATATACCTAAATTGCAAAAAAACTACTGTAGGTAAGCTAGAAGTGGCTGAACGGAGTAGTTTGAGAATAATCACCAAAATGAGACACCCAGATAATCGACTTCATAATCCATCAAATCAACTGCTATACAAAACAACGCAGGTCACCCCCATTTTGGAACGTTTCAAGGAGCTGGCATGCCAATTTGCAAAAAAACACCACAACATACAAATTATGGAAAACTTAATGCACGGTAGAGACCATAACCTGCCCCCCAAAAGGAAATATCCTACACAAACTTTATGGGAGATAATCACGGACATCACTAACGAAGACTAAAATATTTGAGATTTATGTTTTTATTACTTTTTTTTATATAAATTCAATATTGTAACTACAATTAACCATTATTATATTTATAAATTTTTTTTGTAAAATTGGGCAGAAAGACCACAGTCGATAGCCTGTTGGGAATCCAATAAAGATGTTTATTATTATTACATTTACATGTTTATTGATGGAGTGAATTTAGCCAAAAATTACAAAAGACTTTTTTTGTAGAGCATTTGATTTCCCATAAGAATATTTATCGATTTTTTTCGGGATACTGATTTTTACATGAATTACAAAATTCCAAAGTTAAAAGATCGAATTGTAAAACTATATGTGCATGATTGTAAGAAAACGGTTCATCTGACGGGAAATTCCAATCAAACTTTTTTTGTAGAGCATTCAATTTTCTTTTAAAAATATTCTAAAGTCAATTTTGTTAAACTCAATGGTTTGGGAGTTCTGAGACAAAAACTCGCTAGGAAAAAAAAATCTAAAATTGCGATGATAGACCTCTTAATATTAATATTATGGACTCAAACTTTCACCATAATTTTTTTTTGTCACCCCAAACAATATTTTCTATATACTTTACAAAAAAAAATAGTCAATGTTTTTTGGCCCAGTCTAATATATGTATATACATATTATATTATATTATATATATTAGGGTGTCCCTTATTTTTATTTTTTTTACGCATTCCCTCCAATTATATTTATTACGTGTTTATATACTCCCAGTAAAAATTTCAGCTCATTCTATAAACGGGAACCCGTGCCGACTTGCATCTGAACACTCCGGCGCGCGGTATTTTGTAACACAGTTGGTCGCGAGGTCTTCGATCGTAAGTCATTTTGTGTTTGTTATTATGTGACCCTTATTATAAATTATTGACAAATATTAAAATATAGTTTTATTTATATGTATACTTTGATAAAAATGTATATTTTCACAGGGAGTCTGGTGAATAGGCCATAAACTCTGAAATTGATAAACTTAATGGGTTTTACTCTAAATAAGTAAAAGAGTCTATTGTGAGAGATGACTACCGAAAACTTATTGAACTGTCTGAAATATTTTTGGGAGGACATCAAGAAAAGAAATGCTTATAAAAAGCTGAAATTTCATATAACAGTATATTTTAGCAATACTAATTAGTATATTAATATATTTAAGGGATAAAATCAACTAAATTAGTGAAACAAATGCAATAATATTAATTATTAATCATATTTAATAAAATCATTAGAAAAATACAGTCATGAAGTATATCTTCTTTTTAAAGTGTTTCGTGTTACAAAATACCGCGCGCGCCTAACGTTGGCGAACGGAGGGTTTAGATGCAAGTCGGCACGGGTTCCCGTTTATAGAATGAGCTTAAATTTTTACTGGGAGGATATAAACAAGTAATAAATATAATAAGAGGGTATGCGTAAAAAAAATAAAAATAAGGGACACCCTAATATATATATGTTATGGCTAATGTGCAAACTTAGATAGTTTATAAACTAGCTGGATAGTTTATAAACTAGCCAAACTGTCAGCTATTTTAATTGAAAACATATTTTCAACTAAATTAGCGGCTAGTTTACAAAATAACCAAGGATCTTGGCTAATTTACTTGAAATTATTAGGGAAAGTAAAATAGCTGCATAGTTTGTATACTATTCAATTCAGTTTGGCTAATATGAAAACCAAAATTTCTAGTAACACAAAATCGCCAAGCTTTAGCTAGTTTGTAAACTAACCAACCAATTCTCTGACAGTTTGGCTAGTTTATAAACTATCCAGCTAGTTTATAAACTATCCAAGTTTGCACATTAGCCGTAACATATACAATAAATAGAGCTCTTTGACAGGCCCTTTAGGCCTATAGCTCGGTTATCTCCTTGCACTTCTTTTATCCCTTTTCCTTTCGACACTTTACTTCCAATATTTTTGACCAACCTATGGCTCCTTCCTTTCCAAGTGACCCAGCCATTGGATTCATTTTGATTTTACAACTTCTGTTATTATGGATTTGTTATAAATATCATAAATTTCTGCATTTGTTCCTCTCATTTATTCCTCTTTAACTTTTTTTCCTCCAAACATTCTGCTGAGAATTTTTCTTTCCCATATCTCCAGCTTCATTTGGCTACTCTTAATTAACAACCACGTTTCGCACGAATATTATAGTATAGTAGGTCTTATGATGGTTTTATAAATTCGTATTTTTATTTTTAGTGATAATTCTTTTGACTTTAGCATTTTATTTAATCCTACAGTACATCTGTTTGCTTTGGCTATTCATAGAGAAATTTTTCTTGTTATTTATGGGAACCCACAAAATTCATATAACTTTCCACTTCTTCACAACTAATATTTTCCCCATTAAATTTTTGCACTCTTAGTGTTTCCAATTCATTTGTGTCCTTGTCTGTTCCTTTTTCCATGTATTTACTCTTTTCATAGTTTAAATTTAGCCCCCATTCTCCATATTTATAAGATTGAACGTTATACTTCCCTCCATACTTGCTGCTATTTCATTTGGTTCTTCAGATTTATTATTTTTCATCCCATTTAAAATGTCACTCACCTTCTTTACTTGTAGGTTTAGCACTTAATTCGTTTTATTCCACCTCATCCTCACTTAACTCATCCTCCGACCCAGTATTGAGCAATTCTTTAAAATGTTGTCTCTATCTATTTAGAATACCTTCTTTCTTGCCTATTCAATTTACCTCTTTGTCCTTGTAAAAGCTTGATGCCCTCTGATACCCTGCCCTAATATTATTTACATCCATATAAACATTTCTTATTTCTTTTTTCCTATATTTTACTTCCATATTTTTTATCCTTTCCCCCATGTTTCGTCTTTTTTAGGATCTACATAGACTTTTTACTTTCTTTCTTTGTTCTTGATATGCTTTGTATGTTTGTAATATTTTTTTTCTTAGTACTATTTTTCTCTAACTCTTCTTTGCATGCCTTATTCATCCATTCTTTTATGCGTTTTGGTTTTAGTTTCGGTATAATTCTAATTGTAGCTTCTTTTATAGTTTTTTCTAGTTTACTCCATTTTACCTCCACATTTCTTTGTTCAGTTACCATTATTTTATTTAGAGGTCCTTTCTTGATTTACCTTTTCAGTATTTTATTTTATCCCTATTTTTCTCCTTACATTTTGTCTTTAACAAATTTAGGATACTTCAATTTTATTCCTACTAAAAAATTATCATAATCGGCTTCAACTCTCCTAAAGGTTCTTAAATTTTTTTACCAGTCTTGCATTTTTTTCTCTTATTAAAATATGGTCTATCTGATTAGACTTTGTGCTACCAGGTTTTATCCATGTACCCTTTCATAATTTTCATATTCTTTTCTATAGCTTAACTTATTAATTTTTCACCATTATATTTTTTTCCGTGTGCTTACTTTCTCCTCCTGTTATACTCCTGTATATTTCCTTTCCTTCTATTTTGGCGTTTACGTCCCCCATTATAATTTTTATATCCCCATTTGGTATATTCTCATAATATTTGTTTTATATTTCTTCGTCTTTTTCTTCACTCCTTTTAACCTTATAAGAAACATTCAGATACGTGCTTAAAAAAATGTATTTCTCCTTTTAAGCTTTTCCTTATCAAAAAACCCACACCATATCTTGGGCTATTGCTTCCACTTGTAAATAAAGTAAAATTATCTATAGAATTTATTTCATTCCCTGTAAGATGCGTTTTTTGTAGCGCTACGAGGTCCATATTATATTTATTCATTTCTTTTATACTTTTATACCTTAAGGTTCCTGAGCGCCCCTGTATTATTGACCTCTCTTATGTTTCACGTACCTAAGTCGATATTATCTTTAACGTCTACACCGTTTATCATATCCTTGTTTATTGCCTTGGTCAAAATCTTCTTATCTTCGCCTTCCATCTTTTGACTTCTTTATAAAATCATAAAAATAAAACTATTTTTGCTCATTTGTATACTTTTTTAGTATGGGTGGTATTGGGGTCCAATATCTAGTGAAGCCGCTGAAAAAATATTGTCCAATGAACCGGATGGATCTTTCATAGTACGTGATAGTAGCGATGACCATTATATTTTTTCGTTAACCTTTAAGCTTAATAACTGTGTTAGGCACGTTAGAATAGAGCATGATCAGGGTGAGTACCACATATTTTATACAGGGTGTTTCTTAGAAAATGACGTGAGCAATCACACTCTGAAATATTAGCATGTCATTAAGGAACACCCTGTATACTTACATTGAATATAATTAAATATAGATAAAACTAAATTGTCATTCTAGCAATATAAATAAAATAATTTTCAAAAAGTATTTTTTGATCACAAATTATTTTACAAGGCTATTGCCTTGTAAAATAATTGTCTAAAATATGGTCTAAATTTTTCCTAAAAATATACTTTTATTAATATTCTAAGATTCTTAATTGCAAATTTATGTCTAAATATTTTGTAGTTTTTTTTTATAAAAAGCGACAAATCTTTTGTTTTAGGTAACTTTAGTTTTGGTAGCTGTACTAAATTTAAATCTCAGACAATAGTGGAATTTATAGAGAATGCCGTTGAACACTCAAGAAGTGGCAGATATTTATTTTTTCTACATCGAAGGCCCGTAATCGGTCCTGTTCGTGTGCAATTACTTCATCCAGTGTCAAGATTTAAGCAAATACAAAGTTTACAACACATGTGCAGGTATGATACTTTTTTCTAACGCATGAATTTAAAGTGTTAAGCTCAGTATTAAGGCTTATTTTTAATAAAATATAAAATAAAAATTTTGCATAAAATAAATTGTATACAAAGATGTGTCAAAAAGTTTAAAAGGAAAAAATGTATTGCTAGTCCTGGATATATATCACAATGGATATTTTTTATATAGAACCATTATCAGTAAATATATTATTTATTTTTGATGGGACTGTCCGAGATTTAAAATATTTTTACAAAAAATTTAATGGAAAACTAAAATTATATGAGGAATTAAAAGACGGAAATAAGTGGTAGTTTAATTTAATTTTTTGAAAGTAATTTAATTAATTGCTATTAAGTATATTATTAATAATAATAATAAAATCAGTTTATTCGTCTCCAAAAACTTTACAGGTTTACAGAGAGACACCTCTAAATTAAAGAAATAACAGTTTTACTTTAAATGATCTATTCATAAATTAAAAAAAGGCATAAAAAAAAACTTTTAATTAAATTACTTATGTTTAATTTTTAAATATGTATAATTATAAAACCTTTTAATTTATAGAATAAGTTTTTTCTTTACAACCATGCACGGTCATTGACAGGATGATGGGTTAAGTCATAAGTTTTTAAAACCGCCGGTATTCTTGGCTTGCTTTTTTCCTCTTGCTTTCGCTCTCTTCTTTTCTTTAAACTCGACTGGATGTTCCATATTTTGCTTTGTTCTACTTTTAGACGCAAGCTTATTTGTGTAATGCTTGAAAATGATTTATTTTTCTTACTTTGTCTTCCATCGTTAACTTTTATTAAATTTATTCGATTTTCATTAATTAAATTGTCGTTTATTTCACCATCACTTTTGTTTAAAAATGTTTTTATGTGTTTGGAAGGAATTCGAACACATTGCGTTTTATAATAATTATTGTATACGAAATATTGTGTTTTTAACCAGTTTTCCATGTTTAAAAAGGTTAAAAATACCTTATTGTGGTACAAATGTTTTATATGCACTAAATTAAGTTTATAAACATATACGTTGCGAGCGAGGGTAATTGGCTTTGTCAATAACTTGTTACATATTATTTTTTTAAGGCTTTGTTTCCTATTTAATAGGAATATGATAAACTGAAGGTTAAAGTTATTATGCATATTGGATCACATTAAAGGGTCACCACATTTTTGACCCTTTGTCGTGACGCGTTACATTTTTTAGTTTGCATATATATTTTAGAGTATTTTTTTTACATTTTAAGCTGTTAATGTTTTTTTCGGTCTTTTTATTAATTTATTTTAGAGTTGGCGTCACTTTCATAAATGACCACTACTTACCCTTAAAGTGTTAAAACGTTTTAATCTTTTAATGCTTTAATCTTTTAACAGCAATATAATAATTCTGTTAAAAGATTTTATAGTGACTATGGGACAAATGTTTGATCTGGAAGGAAATAATTCAGATACTTCCACTGAACCCATACAAGGTCTAACTATATCACAGCACAATGGAGTATAAGCTTTTGTATTGTAATATAAACAGTTTTAAACCTAGACAGTACATAATGAATCATTATATACAGAAGCACAACATAAAATGTACAATGGTTGTTGAAACAAAACTAAAAGAAGAAACCCCTCCCTACCAAAAGTGGAACATAATCCAAAAAAGGGCAATATTCTAAACACTAATATCCGAGGGGGTAGCCTCATCCGGACATCGCCTAAGCTGAAGATGGGTAAAACAAATCCACCAACATTAAACGACGCTAGAAATAACGTCTTACATACAACCCTACCATTCAAGGTCGATAAAATACTCCTGTTTGTAACATACATACACCCTAACTCTAAAGACAGTCTTCTGGTCCAATCATTGCTTTATAAATACTGTATAATCATAGGTGACTTTAACCTTAATAGTAACAACAAAAAGAAGAAAATTAATAAATTCACAGATGATACCAACTTTATGCCAAATAATCCCAGCTCAACTCCCTACATTCTCTTATGTACCCTAAATTTAAACAGTAACATAAAATTCCTTGAAAAAAAAGTTCTATCTGTTCAAGAAGTGCAATATAAACAAAGTTTAAGATTAAATGTTACAACAGTGCTCAGTAATAAATAAGTTAACTTCAACGGAAATTTCCAAGTGCTTCAATACACTCTAAAGGCCGCTGCACAACTGCCCGGTAACGGGAACGGGAACAGCAACGCAAACGGGAACGGGAACGAGAATGATTGTCAGCATAGAAAAAGGATATAAGAAGTGCGCCCTCTGTGTTAAACGAGGGAAACACGTCTATCATGACTCCCCCTAGTTGATGGGCCGGACTCAGCTCATATTGATTTTGACATACCAGGGCCGGCTTTTAAATTTTTATTTTTTTATATTAATAATTTTATTAAAAAAAAACAAAATAGTGAAACATTTGTTTATTTACAATAAAAATCCTAATGCATTATGTGAAAAAATACAATTTTTAAAATATTCTGTGACTAAAACTATATACAATGATTACAATTGTAGAAAAAGTCTATATCATATTTTGTTTTTATAAATTTGAATATTGTACATTCCTAAAAATTGTCAAATATCAACATAAAATGTATCAGTCCTAAAAATCTTACAAAAAAAGAGTTAGTACAGGATCTAGTGGAATTAAAAACAAATTTAAGAATAAAAATACTACCCCTTAAAAATTTAAACAAAAAACTAATATTCTTAACTAAATAATATTATATGCATTATATATGTATATATTTTAAGTAAAAGTATGTATTTACAAAAATATAATGACAATAATATTATTTCCTTGCAAAAATATCTTTTATTAAGATATTAAAAAATAATGCATTACAAAAATTCAATTTAATGATTAACATATTTTGGAATTTTTATCATAGAAAACGTTGTATAATTTAAAGCCTATTCAATTTGATTGATTATAGTTTGTAGTTCACAGGAGTTAACTACTGAACAACATCTTGCAAAAGTATCTTCTTTCTTCAAATAAAGATTCTGTATACATGCTATAGCATGCAGTTTTTATTTACAAAAGTTACTATGCAACTCGAATACCAACGTTTTTCAATAGTAGATTGGGTCCCATTTGAAGTTATTAGCTTGGATTTATAAGAGTTGATTTGTATTGTAGATTGTTTATGTTCTCAGATTGGTTTACAGCAGATTTCATATTCCCACTTTAATTGTAGTTTGTATTGCATTTATGTAATTAAGATTTATATTCTTAGGTTGGTTTTCCATATTTTCCTGATTCCAACTTTATTCAAAGATTTTGTTGAATTCATGCATGAATGTAAGTATGGTTTATGTTCTCAGGTTGGTGTCCCATGGCTTCCAACTTCCAACTTCGTTTTTAAACTATATGTCCTGGACCCAAAATATCATAAAACTTGAAATCACCAACTTTCTTTGTGGCACAAAGTTTGTGAAACCTTCTTTCAAGTAAAACTAAAAAAATATCATTATCATTAGTAAAATTTTAATATTAATAATAATAGTCATAATAAAAATATTACCCAATGCTAAATTTAATTCAAAATGTTTTTTCAAAGATTTTACAAAAATGCACCAGCATTTTACTTATTTACTTAAAGCAGAACTACCTATTCTTTGTCCTTAGTCATGAAAATCAACATAGTTAAAATAGTTCTGCTTTAAGAAAATACATATTCTGTACAAGTACATAATGTAAATTAGGTACATTTATTAGATATAAAGGTTATAAAAGCCTTTTAATATGTAGGTAGATCTTTACAAAGTAGATTTAAAATGAAATTGAATATTATTAAAATATAATAATTAGTAAAACTTGGCTAATAATTTATTTATAATTTATTATTAATAAACTTATAATACCCATTTAATTTAACTAGACCTACATACAAACAAAAAACCTATAGGTACTATATTTAAAACTTGTCGGTTTTTTAGCCAAGCAGTTTAATTCGTCTTATTTTGAAAGTTATACTTACGTTTTCAAACTACATACATATATAACATAATATGTTATATATTATATGAAATATCAAACCCATAAGGCATAAAACTTGGAAACAATCTACTTTTTGGAAACAATATACTTTTTCTATGAAGAAAATGCACCATAAAATTGAACAAATCCTACTTAATAATAATAAACAGAACTTGCTTTGACAGTTAAACAATTATTGGTTTTACGACGTTGCCGAAAGTGGTACGTTTTGTTTTAATTACAGGTTACTGTAATCTGTGCACGAACTGGCAACGCATCGTGGGGGAGTCATGTTTCCAATTCCCCCGCTTATGTTTCACCCCCCTGATTGTCAGATGCACAATCAAAATAACGAAACGGAAACAAACAGGGATTTTAGCATTTACCTAGTTGTATTTTTAGTTGCTTTTTAATTTTGACATAAAAGTAACTAAAAAAATAACTATATTTATTTACCTGAATTCACTCTACCTTCCCAGATTTTTCATTTTCGCTCACAAATAATTATTGTATTACCTCGAACGTCAAGATTTTCCATTGTTTTTAAACATTTGGCTACAAATTCTAGGAATTTTACTCGATCGTACAGGTAGACCTAAATATAATCATTGTTTTCAGACGTAACCTGATATGATGTAATATCGCACAAAAATATCATCGTAGATTAATATTATAATCATTAAAAAATATATTTTCTGTGCAAAAAATCAAGTTTCTGAATGTTTTTTTACAATCATGCAGAAAATCATCAAATGTCATTTTAAAATGTAGGTTATCTATGAAATGTAGGGTTAAGTTTAATGCTTTTCTATTGGCTCCGAGAAGCCGACGGAACGGGAAAGTTAAAACTTGGCCAACTTTCACGTTCGCGTTCCCGTTCCCGTTGCCGTTTACGTTTATTGTGCATGCATACATTAAATTTGGCCTTTTTAACTTTTTTCCCGTTCGCGTTCCAGTTCCCGTTCCCGTTACCGGGCTATTGTGCAGCGGCCTTCAATGTGTTGATCG